TTAATATTCTTCCCAAAGCATCCTTAAGTATTGCAACTCGAGGCTTGAATAATACTATTAATTACATATTTTAAAATGCACAGTGAGATCCAATAAATTTCAAATTATAAAATTTAGGAGTTTATAATAACCTAAGGCTTAACTCGGAGGACTATGTTCTAGGAATAATTTGAAAGTTTCTAACCTAGGAGGAAACCTCACCAAGTGAAAGTAAAAAAAGAAGCAAATGCCAAACTGTTTATATTTTCATGTTTGTTCACAGCCGTAGAGCACTGACAGACACAAAATGACATGATGTTGTAAAACCAGAATAAAGTCCCTGCTCAGCTATGTCTTCTGGGAGCGAGGGGACAGGATTTAGACATACTGTTTTGTTAGCCAACTGGAAAGAGAATGAATCAGGTAACAACAGAAAGTAAACAAAAAGAGATGATCAACTCAACTCCTGATCACTTCACATTTTCATGTTTAGTTTCCTATACACCATTTCAGTATGTATTTGTTTATATTCTTCACGAGTGTTTGCATTTCATGTGTATTTTGTTTACTCAACTAGTTGGTAAACTTTAAGATAGCACAAAATAATTAGAGAGTGCTTTATAGTATTCCATTGTGTCACTGTACCATAATTTTTCTTATCCCTTTGTTTGCTGATTGGCATTTGGGTTGTTTCCATCTATTTGCTATTGTGAATAATGCAGCAATAAACATGGGTATGCATACAGCTCTGGTTTGCATGGGCAGCTGTGGTTTTTTTAGTGTATATTCTCAGTAGTGGAATTGCTGGGTCAAACAGTATATTTATTTCCAACTTTTTGGAAAAGCACCAAACCACCTTCCACAGTGGTTGCACCATTTTACACTCCCACCAGCAATCAGGGTTCCAATCTCTCCACAACCTCACCAGCATTTGTTGTTTGCTGCAGTCACAAAAAGACAAAACTGCATGACATGACTGTTATAAAGGAGGACTGACAAAACACCACTGTTAGAATGGACACTACATTGGAATAGGTAAAGGAAAGAACTGTTTAAAATGAATATATGATTAGAAATTACTTGTTTGACAACAGTCAAGAGTAAGAGGTGCATTACAAAGTGAACTGGGGGGTACAACAATGAATGCATATTTTTTAAAAAAATAAAGTGACCTGGGGAGGGAGAAAGGAGGGAGTGGGAAGTGTAAGTGTAACAATGAATGAATGAAATATGACTTTTTTGTAAACTTTTGTTAAAATAAAAATTAAAACAAACAAACAAAATAATAAGAGAGGAATGGTGCAAGTGAAGATGGAAGAGGCCAGAGAAGATGAAAAGAATAACAAGAAAAAGAAAGATGTGCTACTGTGTGGGCACTTGACAGGGGTCTCTGAAGGCAACTGTTCCTCTAGTGAGCTGCTTACTCTTTCGTCTTTAACCAGGCTTACTGTTTTGATCTTTCACTTCTGTTTTGCTTCTGTTGAACTCATATACACAACAACAGAATCACAAGCCATTGCTGTTCATCTGATGCAGTTGACCAGTAGTTAAGTTAGAATCAGAAGACTAGGAGTTTTTACAGCCACAAAGGAGAGATTCACAGTTGGTAAAAGCTGTAAGCTTAGTCTATTCAGGTTGCCCTTTACTTCAAGAAATACATTTTAGATAGAATCAGTGTCTTTCTCCTTCATAAATAACATAGGACTTCCCCAGGGCTCTGTGCATTTTGAGCCAGCATGAATTCATTTTCTTATAGGCAGAGGAGCTCATAGTGCCAATTCTTAATGTAATAAAAATTAGGTCCTCACATATACTGTAGCATAGAAATAAAAACCCCATGTCTAAGCTCAAGGTGAAAGTGCATTTGTGTTAATGCGGATGACACATGTCCTGTTGAATTCCTGTATAAGAAGGCAGGGAGATGGGCTCGTTTTTAGTAAGAATTGAGAAACAGAATTGATTCATCATTACTGCCCTTAAATACAAGGTAACATTCACAGAAATATTATTCTTTGGAGAAGCTACGCTAAAGTCTTTTACAAAGATTATCTGAATCATAAAAAGAAAATTACCTGTAAAGGATGTATGAGGTGTAAATTCATCAGCTAGTCTGCAGGAGAAAGATGGGCAGTTTCCTCCTGTGCAATTTACTACCTCTGAAAGTCTGTTCCAACTCAATGATAACAACAACAACATGAAAGAGGTGGAGTCCAGGGACAAAGGGGTACAAATAGTTCATAAGCTAAACTGCTAAGTGACAAATTGAAGGTTTGAGTTCACTCAGAGGCACCGCTGAAGAAAGACCAGGTGATCTACTTAGGAAAAGTTATCCACTGAAAACCACAGGGTGCACAGTGTTTATAAACATGTAGATGTCACAGGTCAAAGTCAATATCATGAAGATGATGGTATTATTTTCCATACACCTATATGGCTGCGTATGGTTAATATCGTGACAACTGGCTAAAAATCTCACATATAGTATCTGAGTCAAATATTAAAATCCAAGTTACTGACACCAGAATGTGTGAAACTGAACCCTGTTGTAGATAAGCTTCCTTATTCCTTTTCACTTCACCCCTAAACTGTACCACCACTACTCAATTAGTTTTTCAGTTGGGAAACAGCAATGAAAATAGAGCATTGCTGGGTAGTAGTGAAGATGATGCTGGTCTACCGATGGACTGTTTAAACAGTATGGTCTCAGGATAGGTAAGAACTAAGTCATTGAGAAGAAGTAATACATGGCTGCTTGTCATTTATCCCAGACAAAATAGGCCTTCAAGAGTTAATGTTTGTTGTTTATTTCCTTACTTTCTCTCCATTTCCAATGCATTTTTCATTGTTAGCTTTCATTTTCATTAGTAGAAAAAGAAATTATTTACTTTATTGTTGTTGTTGTTATGTGCCGTCGAGTCATTTTTGACTCATAGCGACCCTATGCACAACAGCCCTAAACCCTGCTCTATCCTGCACCAACCGCACTGCCTCTGACACACCCATCCCGATTACCCCAGTCACCGAATCAATCCATCTCATAGAGGGTCTTCCCCTCCTGCGCTGTCCCTCCACCCTCCCAAGCATGATGTCCCTCTCCAAGGGCCCGTTCCTCCTGGCAACATGTCCAAAGTATGTCAGACGAAGCCCCAGAATCCTTGCCTCTAAGGAGTAGCTTGGTTTAATCCTCTCCAAGATGAATCTGTTTGTTTTCCTGGCAGTCCATGGTACATTCGGTATTCTTCTCCAGCACCACAGCTCAAAAGCATCCACTCTCCTTCTGTCCTCCCTAGTCATTGTCCAACTCTCTGATGCGTAACAAGTGATTGCAAAGACCATGGCCTGTATCAGGCGCACCTTAGTCTCCAGAGAGACACCGTAGTTTTCCAGATGGGCTTAGCAAGTTTGTATGACAGGTGACAAGAAAGGAACTAGACTTAATAACTCTGACTCCTGTCTCTAAATGCAGGTTTCTAAGTTTACGTATGGTGTAAACATTACATGGATCGTCTGATCCAGCAGATCAGCAGCAGAGTTAAAATCATAAGACTAAGTTTTCTAGTCAGAACAGTCTCTTTGTCATCTTCATCTGTCCTATCGCAAAACTACACTTAGAAATTCCTCCATAAGCCTTTATTGCTTGCTTTATCTTCGATCTCATTGAATAGCACCACACAGCTACGCAAGCCAAACACTCAGACATCCATCACCTTCTAATCACCCTTCTTCAGAACCTTCTTCATCATTCATGCTGCTTCCTTGGATACTCAGTCTAATGCCAAACCGTACTGTGTGGTGAAAGAAAACAAAATCTATTATCCCTCTTAATGTACTCAAAGCACCACTCCTTCTCCTGTTGATGACTGAGATAGTCTCAATCCTATCTTCACACTTTCCTGTGTGCACATCTTCCCTTCATTCTCAAACTGCAGCCAACACCATCTTTTCAGAACACTCATACTGCCATACTATTAATATCATGTCATTATTTTGTTATAGATATAAAGAGTTGTGCCGCCAAACCCAAAGACACAAAGGTCAAATCCACCAGCAGCTCCAAAGGAGAAAAATGTACAATCTCCTTCTGTGTGATTTGCAGCCTCTGAAAACCAGCTGGAAGATAAGTTTGAGTTGGTTCCAACTAGATGGCACGTAACTATTATGAAAATATAACAACTTCAATGTCCTCTCATGGCACTTTGGCTAAAAATCAAAGCTTTGGGCATGGCTGACAAAATCTAGCATGATCTGGTCTTTAGTATATCTCTAGCCCCACTCCTTCCTCCCTGCAGGACAATCTTCCTGGAATTTCCTCCTTTCCTGAAACACTGCAATACTGATGATACCTGTCACTCCTTTTCTCTGGACAACTCACAAGCTCCACCTCCATAAATCACAGTAGCATCTTCTCAGTCCTCATGCCTTTCAAGTGTTACTTTCTTGAGGATGATATTTCTAGCCTGTTTAAATACTCTTGGATAGTTGTTGTTGTTGTTATATGTCATCTAGTCAACCACAACTCACAGCAACCTTATACACAATAGCTCTGAACTCTGCTCTATTGTGGGCTCATATCACTGTCTCCAACATACCTATCCCCATAATCTCAGTCACTGTGTCAAGTCAATCCATCTCATTGGGATCTTCCTCTCTTGTTCTGTCTCTCCACTTTCCCAAACATGATGTCCATCTCCAAGGACTGGTCCCTCCTGGCTACATGTATAAAGTATATGAGATGGAGCCTCAAGATTCTTGCCTCCAAGGAACAGTTTGTCTTCATCCTCTCCAGGACATGCCTATAATTTTCCTTGGAAGTCTGTTTTAATAATTATTTTTAGTACTTAAGCCATTGTAATTTTACATTTATTTGTGCAATTATTTGGCTACATTCTTTCTCCTCCATGAGATATTCTGCTCAGTTTTTTTTTTATTCCACGCCTACCGCATGTTGACTCACATGCCTATTTGTTGAATGAGTGAAAGCTTAATGAGAGCATATGCTTCCTTCTACCAGTTCTACTTACCATTTGTCTGAATGAGGAGGTTGTATATTTTAGTCCAAGTGCCCTCTGGGTACAGAGTAAAGCTACACTCATAATTCCCACTGTGTGATGAAGACACGTTCCTTAAACGCAAAGTCCATTTTAACACATTATCAGGAGTTTCTGTGAATGCCACTAGTAAGTCACAGGGAGTTTTGCTGGCACAGAAGAAGCCATGTTGAGGGTGATAAAGGGCAATCAGTTCCACCTTACTGGTGACCTTGGACCATTGCATCTGCACTAAGAAGGCTTCTTTTCGTGTTTGGCAGATCAGGTTGACATCAGAGCCGGAGAGAGCATAAATGTTGTCTTCTGCATTAACCATTTCTCCCCACATTCCTGAAAAGAAGGAAATCAGTCATTAGTCTGATGATTGTCATACAGTGCCTCTTTTTGATGACTTTTTGACTCTCCTTGCTTAGTTTGATGAAGTGAGGGCACAGCTGAGGGTATGCCCCAGCTGCTCTGGTGGTGAAAGAGAGTTTACATATGTTTCACACAGAGAAGTACAAAATGCAATAATTAATGAAGGAGACATTTGCTTAGGAAAACTGGAAGAAACTAGATTTGCAAACATCTATGTCTGTTATCTGTATGAAAGGGAAAAAAAGGAATTAAGGCCACTAATCACCTCACTTTTTCTAAGACATAACAAAAGACCATAAGAAACTAACTATGAAAACTAGTCTGTTTGGCGGAAGGGCAGGGGTGGCAATGGTAGAACTCCCATTATCTTTGTAGGAGATTTTGTACTTCACGTGTGATCACCACCTGTCTGTCAGTGAAGGCTTTTGTGCTGCCATGATGCTGAACAAGTTTTAGTGGAACATCCACACTCACCCAGAATAAGAAGAAAGGCCTGGTGATCTACTTCCTGAAATCAGCTAATGAAACGCCTAAGACTCACAACAATCTTATCAACAACTGCTTGGGGGGGATAGCACAGGTCTAGGCAGTATTTTGTTCTATTGTGTGTCAAGTCACTATGAACTGGTGTCAATGCAGCAACAACTAACAGCAACATTTATTTATTATCAATGTCTTTTGATTATAAAACAACAGTATATACAACACATACAAGTGCTTACTGAAATTGGAAAAAATAATGAATGTGTATATAGCTTTGAGGTTGGAGAAGAGCACTGAGTATCCCATGGACAGCCAAGAGAACAGATATGTTCTGGAAAGGGTGCAGTCGGAGTCCTCTTTGTAGGTAAGGATGAGGCTTCACCTCACATACTTTGGTATATTTCTAAGAGATGCTATTCCTTGGAGAAGGACATGTTGCTGGGAAGGGTGGAGGGTCGACAAAGGAGAGGAAGACCCTCCACCAGGTGGTTTGACATGGAGACTGCCACAATGGGCTCTCATGTGTTAGGTAGTGTAAAAATGACACAGGACAGGGCAGAGTTCAGATATGTTGTACAGAGGGCTACTATGAGTCATATTCGACTAGGCGGTACCTAACAACAACATATAACAGATTCTGGTGTGTATTTACTAAAAGTATAGACATATGGAATTTCGTTACTGAGCATGGTGGTGTTTGTGAGGACATTCTGATCTCTTGTTTATAGAGTCACTATGAATTATAGTCAACTTGACAGCACACAACAATAACCTATACTATAAGAGTTATGTTGTTGATATTTTTTACCAAGAAGAGAATTTTATCACAGAGACATTAAATGTTTACTAAAGCCACTCATACTGCAGCCTACAAGCGTAGTACCCACAGCAGAAAACCAGAGACCTGGCATGAGACAGAGCTGACCTTGGGACTGTCACCCCACAGAACCAGAGCTAGGAGACTTCTTGCAAGTTTGTTGAGCTTGGGGGGTGGGTGGGGGGAAGGCAGGACCTGCCACAATTGGTAGGACTATGAGCAATGTGACATCGCCCTAGAGCCACAAGTCTGAAGGCTGAAGTGCCTGTGAGCATATTTCAGGAGCTGTCCTGACTGAGTGAATGTATCCCGCTGCAGACATGAATTATAGCCTTTCAACTTCCCTAATAATTATAATCATGAAAAGAAAGTTCATTAAAAACTCACACCTCCAGTAAAGAAACATTAATTCATTTGCCCAAGGACTGCACTTTTTTCATAACTTCCAATTTGCCACTCACATTCAGTTTGGTTGAATTAGAGTAAGAAATTTCACATTCAGTACACAAAACCTGAAAGGACCTCTAACATTTAGTTCTCATATTTAGTTCTTCTGACTGGAAGAGAGAAGAGAATATCTAGGGTTGATGTCTCATGAATGATGAGCTGTCTGGTTATAAGAAATGCTCTGGAATTCTATACAGAAATGAAAATTCTTGTCAGTTCTCTGACCAAATGATGCTGGGCAATTAAGTGATGTTAACCTTTGAGCCTTTGATATGTCTTCCAGAGTGTAGGCCTCAGTTTTAGAATGAACCTGGAATACTAATACAGTAATGATATAGGACTGTGACAATTACCACCTAAACTCTCAAAGAGAAATGATTAAAAGATGACAAGCAGCTGAGAAGAAAGCAGACTCTCCAAAGTACTTGACAAATGGGAATTCTTGCACTTTCGTGAATGCCAAGGTTTAGGTAGGCAGGAGTCAATGCAGCTTAATGTACTGCCCTGTGAGCTGTCTTCTGCCTTATAACATGCCTCTGATCCTACACACAAAATGAGATTCCCAAACCCCCTTTGATTGATTTAGATATTCTCCTTAAAAGTCTTCATTGCTATGTCTAAAAAGCACAGTTAATCCAAAAGGCACTCCAGCTCACTGTGATACTCACACCCTACAGAACGCAGAATTAATTTTCCACTTTCTATTTTTAAACTGCCCCTTCAGGCATTGGCTCCCACTGTCATGAGGATCCACTTGGTCTTCCAGGTCCATAAACTTCAAAACCTCATTAAAATTTCACACAATGCTCAACTCTCAAAGACATCAGTATTGGAGGAGAAAGGCTTGCTATATCAAAAAATAAAAAGGATACTCGAGAGAGAGAACAGTTGAGCAGAAACCCGTGAGCACTGATGGCTTTGTGATTTTTTTTTTAATAGTCTAGTGTTATCTTGACTTCCATTTGGAGAGCATTTAATTTCCAAGGAGCACACTTCCACAGGTACTCCAGAGATCCTCTCAGGAAAGAAACAAAGAGAAATGCCTCATAACAGGGCTCAAACCACCCATTCCCTTCATGGGCATAGTGGTTGTTAGTAATCACTTTTAGATTCTAGCATCCCTCAGTCAGCTGGCTCTTAAACACCTATCTGGAAACTCACTATCTGCTCTTTGATGGTCCATTTCAGCAGCCGTCATGGAGACATTGTAAATGAACCAAGCCCTCCACCCCCAAAGCACCTAGATGAGGAGAAGGGACGACTGGAAGCCTTACCTCTGACAAAATGGATCTGGATGATGGAGTAGACGGCACAGTATGTCCATTTTGCCTCCATCATCTCCCAAAGGCCTCACGCCAGCACTTCCATCCTGATCACAGAAGCCAACTGATGTTTTTACCTCAGCAAACCCCTGCAGCTTGATGCATGCTAAAAACACCAGCACTACCACATGTCTGGGTATGTTTATCATTTGGCTAAACTCCAGGAAATGGAACACAGACAGGAAGATAATGTGGTTCAGAGCTAAGTATAACCTGACACACAATGGTGAGCTCTCTGAAGTCTTATGTCTCATCTTCTTTAAAAGACATTTCAGTACTCAAAGATTCACTCGTTCAGACCCTCTGTGTCAGTAAGCTGCTTCAAAGATCCAAACAAAGGAAATCATGCATATATAGCAGTTTGCACATGTGCTTTTCATACATTTCTTTTCAAGAGCCCAAAGTCATTTAACAAATGCTAGCCCGGTGCCTTTCATAATGACTTTTCTGTTCAGTTTGGTTGTTTTTGGTGTTGTTTTGTTTTTTTTTAAATGCTTTCTTTCCAAAACTGCTCCAGGGTGTCAGAACAAAGAATTAGCACATTTAATTTGAAGAACATCTGAACAGTAATTCAAAGTAGCATCAGTTACCAAATTGAATTTTAATGTCTCTCCCTCTCCCGGGGATGAAGTCTCTGGATGATGCAAATGGTTATGTGCTTCAACATTTAACCAGTAATTAAAAGGTTATTTGTTTGAACCCACCCAGAGGCACCTTGGAAGAAAGAACCTGGCAATATTGTGAAAAGTCACAGCTTTGGAAAACTGATAGAATGCAGTCCTACTCTGCTATCCATGACATAGTCATAAGTTAGAATCAACTCTACAGCAATAGATTTTTCAGAGACATCTACATTTCCTTGTGCTAGAGAAATGAAGGTTATCTTTTTGCCTCTTGGTGGAGGTAGACTGGAGGTCATGTAGTGAGTATGAAAGTTTATTGCTGACTGCAGATAATCATCTCTGTGTTTCAAAATCTATCTAGGACAAGACAGTCCCAACTCGATTCCAAAAGCAGAGAAACTTATGCATCAGGCCTATTCTAGGCAATCCTATATTTACAGAGGAATAGATTGGGCCTCTGCAAAACTTAATCTATGACATTTTCTGTGGAAGATCAAAGACCAGAATCTTCAATATAGGTTACACTTCAACTTCAAGAAAACAAAAATCTTCATCACTGGGCAATAGACAATGTCATAATAGATAAAGATTGAAATTGTTAAGTTTCATTTTACTTGGATCCTCAGTCAACACCCTTGGTATCAACAGTTAAGAAATCAAAAGATGAAACATATCAAAAGATTGTACTGTATAGCACCTGTTGCAGTGGGGAAATCTGCTGTCAAGGACTTCTTCAAAATCCTAAAGACAAAGCTGTGCCTGATCCAAGCCTTGGTTTTTTTTCAAGTGTTTCCTATGCAAATCTGAAAGCTGGACAAGGAGTAAAAAAGACTAAAGAAGAATTGATACCTTTGAATTGTGGTGTTCAAGAAGAGTACCGAATATTTATCTCATGGACCACCAAAAGAAGAAATAAATCTGTTTTGAAGGAAGTGCAACTAAAGTACTCCTTAAAGGCAAAGATGGTGAAACTTTGTCTCATTTTGGGCATATTTTGAGGAGGAACCAACCCTTGAAGAAAGCCATTATGCTGAGTAAAATAAGGGGTTGGTGAAAGACAGGAAGACCCTTAAGGAGATGGATTGATTCATGACTGTCACAATGGGCCTGCCACAATGACAGAGATGAGCAGAATGGTACAGGATAGGGCAAGTGTCAGCTCTGCCGTTAATAAGGTTGCTAGGAGTCATAGTCCACTCAACAGCACCTAACTATAACAACAAACTGGCCTCTCGTGTTCTGAGAATTATGCTACTAACTCAAAGGTTGGGACTCTTTGGCTGTTCAGCTCCATGGAAGAAAGATGGACAATCTCTTTCTACGTAATGTACAGCCTCAAAATCCAGTGAAAGGTGAGCTATAAATTGGTTCCCCGTGCATGACAATAAGTTGAAAGACTAACCTGTAAATAAATGGCTGCATTATAAAAACATGTAGTTATTTGTGCAAAGGCCTAATGACCATTCTCTGCTAGACAACAATTGTGTTGATTTTCTAGCTTGGGATAAAGTAGGCTACTCCTTCCAGTGTAAGTGCCCCTCCCCTTGCCCACTTTCTGATATTTAAAACAAAACCAATGAAAACAAGCATTAGGATAAGCTCTATAGTATTTTTAATGGGCAAAGAATAATTATTAATATATACATACATATATATGTATACACATACATATATATACATACATAAATATATACACATACACACACATATATATATATATATATATATAATGTTAGATGGATCTTAGCTGAAATAGGGAATACCAGAGGAATGTATATCTGTGTTTCATTGACTATGCAAAAGCATTTGACTGTGTGGATCATAACAAACTGTGGCTGATTCTGAGAAGAATGGGAATCCCAGAACACTTGATCGTGCTAATCAGAAACCTGTACTTGGACCAAGAGGCAGTCGTCAGAACAGAGCAAGGAAACACTGCATGGTTCAAAATTGGGAAGGGTATATGCCAGGGATGTGTCCTGTCTTCATACCTTTTCAACCTGTATACAGAACAGATTACCTGGGAGGCTGGGCTCCATGAGGAGAAATGTGGGATCAAGATTGGTGGAAGATCTATCAACAATCTACGATATGCAGATGATACAACCCTGCTTGCTGAAATTGAGGAGGACCTGAAGCGCTTGCTGCAGAGGGTCAAGGACTGCAGCCTCCAGTACGGATTGAGGCTCAATGTTAAGAAGACAAAGATTCTCATCACTGGGCCAATTGGTAGCATCAGGATGGAAGGTGAAGAGATTGAGATTGTTCACAGCTTTAGTTTGCTTGGCTCCACAGTCAACACTCTCGGCACCAACAGTCAGGAAATTAGAAGACATATTGCGATGGGAAAGTCTGCTGTTAGGGACCTCTCCAAAGTACTGAAGAACAATGGTGTCTCTTTGGAGACCAAGGTGTGTCTGATACAGGCTATGGTCTTTGCTTTCACTTGTTATGCATCAGAGAGTTGGACAGTGACCAAGGAGGATAAAAGGAGAATTGATGCCTTTGAGCTGTGGTGCTGAAGAAGAGTACTGAGGGTACCATGGGCTGCTAGGAAAACAAACAGATTCGTCCTGGAAAGGGTCAAACCGGGCTGCTCCTTGGAGGCAAGGATTCTGAGGTTCTATCTAACATACTTTGGACATGTTGCAAGGAGGGACAGGTCTTTGGAGAGAGACATCATGCTTGGTAGGGTGGGGAGACAGCACTGAAGGGGAAGGCCCCCTATGAGGTGGATTGATTCAGTGACTGGGGTAATCAGGATGGGTGTGTCACAGACAGTGTGATTGGCACAAGACAGAGCAGAGTTTAGGGCTGTTGTACATAGGTTGACTATGAGTCGCAAGCAACTCAACGGCACATAACAACAACAAACAACATACATATATCTGCGTCAACCAATTCTTTTTTGTACAGTAACCTGTGCATTCCCTCCATCTTCTTTAGATGTTTCCTGGATTATTCAAAATTTTGCCCATAGCCTCTTTTATTATAGCAACTCAAGGCTTGAATTTGTCCTTCAGGTCTTTCAGCTTGAGAAAAGCTGAGTGAGTTTTTTCTTACTCCAGATATTTCCTTTTTTTTTTTTTCCTAAAAGGTATTTTGTTGATAATGATTCCATACTGAATGCTGTAATCTTTGATCTTTAATACATGCATCAAGTTTGAAAATTTATTTTAATGAAAGTTTACAAAGACTTTGGGTTTCCATTCATTCATAGTTGCACACTGGACTCCTATGCACTATGCGGTATTTGTTCTTTTGTGACTGAGATACTTCACTCAGCAAAATGTCCTCCAGAGTCACCCATTTTGTGTAATATTTCACGAGTTCCTTGTTTATCAGCTCAGAATAGTATTCCATTGTGTGAATATACCACAGCTTCTCTGTTTGTTGATGGGCACTTGGGTTGCTTCCAGCTCTTTGCTATTGTGAACAAAGCCACAATAAACATGGGTGTGCATATAACTGCTTATGTGGCAGTTTTGGTTTCTTTGGGGGTATATTCTCAGTAGTGAAATTGCTGGGTCAAATGGTATCTCTATTTGCAATTTTTTGAGAAACCACCATACTGCCTTCCATAGTGGTTGCACCATTTTATATTCCCATCAACAGCGAATAAGGGTTCCAGTTTCTCCACAACCTCGCCGGCATTTGTTGTTTGCTGTCTGTTAAATTTTGCTATTCTTACTGGGGTGAGATGATATCTCATAGTTGTTTTGAGATATTTCCATATTTTATTAAAATACATGCCTGCACAAGCTCCTTTGAAATCTTGAACTTGTTAACCTTTTCATTTCTTCCCTTTGACTTCTAAGCATTCCAGTGCAACCTTCAGTCTCTTCTGATATCCATTGTGGTCTTATCACCCCCCCCCTCTGTCTTTGTAATGACCTTAGCTTTCTTTTTTTTTTCAAAGCAATAACTTAAGACATTTTGTTTTCCACAAAGTTAAAATTGAACAAATCTTGTAATTTTGCTTGAAAAGAATGTTTAAGTAACAGATATTAATTGTTCTTTGAAAGTTGGTGAGTCTTTATTGTTCCTTCAGAAAAATTATTTTACCCAAATAAACTCCTAGGTGCTAATGACTAAAAGAGAGACCAACTATAGAAAATAGAGACTAATATACTTTGTTATAATATCTACATAAAGAACACAGTTGTGTAATGAGTTTAAAGAAGAAAGATTTCAAAGAGATTTTTTTTATAGAAGAAAATTCAGTAATAGTTAAAACAAAGTAAATGTCATTATTTTTATTTAAAATAAAACATGAAAAATTCAACGTACCTGCATTTAAATTAAAGGCAAAGAAAAGCTTAAAATACATATGCAATACTCATAATGTGCCCTGGCGTCATCATAGCGATGCATCATCCCACAGCTCATC